ATGGAAAATGGAATTAAAAGAAATTTATTTGGGTACGAAATATTTTTAAATCTCTTGCCTAGTTTTTTCAGGATAGAATTTTTTTGTGAACTTTTTGATGTACTCTGGTATAATTTAAAAACTACTATTGATTTTTTTTAAAAGATTTATTTATTTATTTATTTGAAAGGTGGAGTTACAGACAGGCAGAGGCAGAGAGAGGTATTCTGACCCATTCCCCAAATAGCCTCAGTGGCCAAAGCTGTGCCGGTCCCATGACACAAACAGAGTAGCAATATCAATAAGTAGAAGTGTGTGAAATTCACCCGTGTGAAAACTAGAGATTGCTGGCTGGATTCTCAAGTAATTTGGTCCTGTGTTCCTTTGAAGCGGTGCCCTGCATCACAGGGCATGGAAGTGACAGGCAACTGTCCGTGCATCTACAGTGCCACGACAGCCTCACAGGCCAGACCAGAACAAAACGTGTCACGTCACTAAGCACAGCACACTGAGACAAAGAACAAGCAGCCAACCACTCAGACCCACCAGTCTGTCTAAGAGCCTGTGTGTATGCCACGAATGCATGAAGCAGCAGTAGGTGTGTGACCCCTGAGACCGCCTGGAGATGGCTGAGGGGACAGGAGGTGGAGAAAAGTGACCTCAGTTCTACTGGTCATCGTTTACTCCTCTAAGCTAGGTGGTGGGCCTGCGGGTATTTGATATGATTCCAACATACCTGTTCCATGCCAGAAACGGTTCATATAAATCTTTCCCTGTGCCACACGACGTGACTTTCCGTGCAGCAGAGCCGTCCAACACCTGGCACCAGGCAAGGCAGGGACCCAAAACAGCCCTGACAGGCAGCCCCACTTCCGGAGCTTTTTCAGGTGTCCTTCGGGGCGGGGCAGGTGAGGGCACTGCAATGAGCAGGCCTATCCAGTTTGTCCCCTGGAAAACGTGCGTCAGCAGTGCCAGACCCTTTGCAGGTCCGGCGTGGGACCACAGCGTTGGGGGAGCTGCAGCAGCCTTCCCAGTGCCAGGGAGAACGGCGCGGCAGAGCTGCAGACAGCTCGGGCACTGCACAGACCCCCGCGGGCCCCAGGGCTCCCCGGCTCTAAGCCCTAAATCTGCCTCCCGCAGTGCGGCGCCCCCTCCCCTTTGCGCTGTCCCTGCTCTCGGGCCGCGCGTGGTGCCCGCTGTGGCGGCGGAGTCATCATCAGGAGAATGCACTGTGGTGTGTTTGAAAGATGCACACACGACGCAAACATCACAGAAAGTCAATTTCCGCTCTTCGGCTGGGAACCTCCGGGATGACAAACCCACGTTCGCCAGCGCAACTGTGCCTGGCTCCATCCCTGCCGTGTGTCCAGCTTGCAGCAGGCAGGGACAGGACGTGCGCATGGTTCGGTCAGCGCCCAGAGGAGGAACGCAAGGCCTGGAGTTGGAACGCTAAACCTTCCTCCCAATGCTTTCTTCTCCCTGCTGTTGGCGGGGGAGGTTGGGGGCGCTTGGGGTTTGTATTGGCGGGCAGGAAGTGCCAGCTGCCCGCTGCCCGGGAGACACTGAGCGATGAGGCAGCCTGCGCGCCCCAGCGCCTCCCCGTCCAGCGCGCCCTGGAGCGCGCTCCGCGGCCCTCGCCAGGAGCCGGGGCCGCATTCTGCAGCCGCTACCATCCTCAGACCCCAGCAGACCCGCACCCAGTGCAGGCGCGCGCGCGCGGGTTGTAGCAAGGAGGTGGGCGGCGACCCTTCCTGTTAGGATTCGCCGTCTCCGCTCGCACGCCGACTTCCGGGGGTACGCAGGGGGCCCCCAGGGGGCGCAGATTAAAGCCGGGTTAAGTCTTCGCCGCTCCCACCCGGCCCTGCCCACCACTAGGGAGCTCAGAAAGCGCTCTCGCCCTGTGCGCTACTTGGAATCCCAGAAAGACCTGCGAGGGAGTCGGAGGCGCACGCAGCTGGGGAGGTGGCGCCGAGCGCACGGGAAGCGCCGCGAACCCTCTCCGCGAGCCCCACCCTTGGTGCGCTGCGCGCCCGGCCCTGCCCCGGGTGCGCTTCGGGGAGGAGCGGCTCTGGGCAACAGGTGCAGCCGGAGCCGGTCGGCAGCACGGGTCTGGAGCTGCTAAGGCGCCGAGAGGACTTTCACCTGCAGGGCTGCAGCCGGCGGGTCCCGGGGTCGGCGGCCGCGCGGCGGTCGTAGACGCGGGGCCAGGAAGACGCCTGTGCTCCCCGCCGGACAAGAGCCAGCTCCGCGCCCCCGCGCCGGCTGTCCAACGCCCGGCACGAAGACTGCGCTGCCAGGCGCGGCTGCCCCGCCGCGGCGCCGGCTCTCCTGCGCATCGGCGGAGGCTCCGGTGGAAACTCGCGCGCTGGCACTCGGGGCGGGACCCCCGGCGCCGGCTGCCCGTGGCAGACAGCCTGCCCCGCCACCCCGCGTCCCGGGCGCCCCCGCGGGCCATGGAGCTGGCTGCAGGGAACCTCAGCGAGGGTAACGCGAGCTGGCCCGAGCCGCCCGCCGCCGAGCCCCGGCCGCTGCTGGGCGTCGGCGTGGAGAACTTGGTCACGCTGGTGGTGTTCGGCCTCATCTTCGCGCTGGG